CGAGGCGTCAGTCTGCAGAACAAAAGGGAGGGAAAAGTTAGGAGTGTGAAGCAGCGGCTCCCCACAGAGAGCCTTTTTCGCCTGCACAAACGCCGCCTGGCACGGCCCCGTCCACTGGACCAGATCCGGGGCACCCTTTCGAGTGAGATCGGTCAGGGGGCTGGTTAGCTGCGCAAACCCCGGCACAAAGCGACGATAGTAACCCGCCAACCCCAAGAACCGTCTCACCTCCTTTTTCGTCCTGGGGCGCGGGCAGGATGCGATAGCCGCCGTCTTCTCCACCTGTGGACGCACCTGCCCGCCCCCCAGGTGGTACCCCAGATACTGCACCTCCCTCCGTCCAACCGCGCACTTCTTCGGATTGGCCGTGAGCCCCGCCCCCCTCAGGGACTCCAGGACCGCGGCCACCCGCAGCACATGCTCCGCCCAGGTGTCGCTGTGGATGATCACGTCATCCAGGTAGGCGGCAGCATACGCTGCGTGCGGACGCAGTACCCGGTCCATGAGACGCTGGAAAGTGGCCGGGGCCCCGAACAGGCCGAACGGAAGTGTCACGAACTGGTACAAACCGTACGGAGTGGAGAAGGCCGTTTTCTCCCTGGCCTCGGCAGACAAGGGAATCTGCCAATAGCCCTTGGTTAAGTCCAGTGTCGTGAAAAAGCGGGCCGTGCCTAACCGGTCCAGGAGCTCGTCGACCCGAGGCATGGGGTAGGCATCAAAGCGTGACACTTCGTTCACCCTGCGATAGTCGACACAGAACCGGATAGACCCATCCTTCTTCGCCACCAGAATGATGGGGCTACACCAGGCGCTGTGCGACTCTTCTATTACTCCCATCCTCAGCATTTCCGCCAATTCCCTCTGCACGATTTTTCGCTTGTGCTCCGGGAGCCTGTAGGGCCGTGAACGCACCGTCACGCCAGGCTGCGTCACGAAATGGTGCTCGATGAGGGACGTCCGGCCGGGCAGGGGGAGAACACGTCCGCAAAACGCTGTTGCAACGCGACAACATCCGCTCTCTGGCCTGTGTGAGATGGTCATCACAAGGGAGGGAGGCGGGAACGATAGAATTTGGCACCTCCGGCCCCAACTCATCTCTCTCCTTCACCAAGCTCACCAGAGAAGCGGTTTCAACCTCTCGCCACAGTTTGAGGAGATTGAGGTGATAAATCTGCGTGGCTCCTCCCCTGTCCGACCGAGCGACCTCATAGTCCACGTCCCCGACTCGCCGTGTGACCACAAAGGGTCCTTGCCACTTGGCGAGCAACTTCGAGCTGGAGGTAGGGAGTAACACAAGCACTTTATCTCCCGGTGAAAATTGCCTGAGCCTAGCCCCTCTGTCATACAGGCGTTGCTGACGCTGCTGAGCCTGGAGCAAATTCTCCCGTGACAACCTCCCCAAAGTGTGGAGTTTTGCTCTCAGGTCCAACACGTACTGAATCTCATTTTTGGCGGGGCTCGGACCGTCCTCCCAGCTTTCTTTAATCAGGTCGAGCACCCCACGTGGCCTCCTGCCGAACAGCAGTTCAAAGGGAGAAAATCCCGTGGAGGCCTGGGGCACCTCCCGCACTGCGAATAACAGAGGGTCTAGCCAGTGATCCCAATTGCGTTCATCCTCGTTAATGAACTTCCGAATCATGGACTTTAAAGTCTTATTCAGCCGCTCCACCAGCCCATCAGTCTGCGGGTGGTAGACGCTGGTCCGAATAGATTTAATGCCCAGTAATTCGTACAGTTCCCGCAGTGTACGAGACATAAACGACGTGCCCTGGTCAGTCAGTATCTCTTTCGGGATTCCGACTCGGGAGATGACCTGAAACAGTGCCTGCGCCACACTCTTTGCAGAGATGGTGCGCAGCGGAACTGCTTCCGGGTACCGCGTTGCGTAATCCACCAGGACTAACACAAGCGGTAGCCGCGTGCACTCCGGTGAAACGGCCCGATGAGGTCCATGCCGATGCGCTCAAACGGGACCTCAATGAGGGGGAGAGGGCGCAGCGGCGCCTTCGGTATGGCCGGCTGGTTAACAAGTTGGCAGTCCGGGCAGGACGCGCACCAGCGGCGCACATCCGCTCGGATGCCCGGCCAATAAATCGGGCCGTTATTCGCTCCAGAGTTTTCTCATAGCCCATATGCCCTGCCATGGGGTTATAGTGGGCCGCCTGGAAAAGCGTTTCCCGGCGGCCCTGCGGCACCAACAACTGGGTGTGTGTTTCCTCTGTCTGAGTGTCACGACTCACTCGATATAATCGGTCGTTTAATACGACGAAACGCGGGTAGGTCTGCGCGGCCTCAGGCGCACCACGTGACCATCAATAGCCATCACTTGGTCAAAGGCTGAGCGTAGGGTGCCGTCACGAGACTGCTCCAGTGGGAAATCGCCCATGGGGGACACTTCCGGGCCGGCGGACGTCCCGTGAGGGACCCGCCAGCTCCTCCCCCCGGAGTCGGTGTCGGACGACCCCGCGTCACCGCTGAATGCCGCGCACACGCTACACCCCGCTTCCGGTCGTGATCGCACCCCCGCATACTGCCCCAGTAGCTGATGAAACCCCGGCCAATTGGTACCCAGAATCAGGGGGTGCGACAGGCGCGGGCTAACCGCCGCCGTTACTCTATGCGTTTTGCCCTTATACTTTAATAACAGCGGCACAATGGGATACCTGTGAACGTCACCATGCACACACCTCACCTCCACCCATTCTGCCTCCAGCAATGCCCCGGGGCGAACCAAGCTTTGGTGTACGAGGGTCTGCGTGCAGCCCGTGTCCACCAACGCCTGGCGTATACCCCTCGAGTCCTTACCGGAATACTGTATGTCCCTCCTGGACCGGGGAGGGTGCTGGGGCGCCAGCAACACGAAACACCTGCCCCACTTCCATAAGCGGACAATCCCTCCTCAGGTGCCCGGCTGCCCGCACTTCCAGCACTCCGGCCCCGGCGTCTGTGCTGCTCTCCGTGGCTCGGGGGCGGCTCCACTTGGCTCGGCTGCCCTGGACGGCACCAACGCCGCGAAAGGGTTAGTGGGGCTCAGCGCCGGCAGCCGCTCTGCCTGCCCTGGTGCCGGCACACGGCGTCTCGGGGCCGGCACTGGGGCCTGTTTGTTCGGCCTCCGTCCGGCGTCCCCGGGTTCCCCTGCTCCAGCGGCAAGGTGGTCTTCCGCTAGCGTCACCGCTACCTCCAGGCTTGCGGGCCGGTGGCACCGGACCCATCTCGCCGTCTCCGCTGGCAATCCCTCCGTGAACTGTTCCAGCACCACCTTGTCCACCAGCTTCGTCTCGCCCTCCGATGTTCCCGGTTGCAGCCAGCGAACCGCCGCGTCGCGCAGCTGCCGGGCCCAGGCGAATGGTCGGTCTGTTGTGGCCAGCCGACAGGCCCGGAACCGCCGGCGATGGTCTTCGGCGGTGAGCCCCAGCCTGTCCACCACCGCCCGGCTCACGTCCGGGAAGCTGCTCCTCGACGCCGGAGGCAGACTCAGGGCCGCTGTTTGTGCCTCCCCAGACAGCAGGGGAGCAGCCGCGGAGCCCACTCCTCCCGCGGCCATTGGCAAGCCTCCGCCGTGGCCCGGAAGGTCTCCAAAAAAACTTGTGGGTCGTCCCCGTCCCCCATCCGGGGCACCGACACCGACAGCGGCAAGGGCTTCGGCGCGGCAGCGGCCCCGACCAGCCGTTCCAGAACTTGCGTCTGTCGGTCCGTCTGCTCCCGCAGCGCGGCCAGGTGGGCACGCTGGTCGGCCGCCTGATCCCGGCTCATCGTCGCCATCTCCGCCAGCATCTGCGCCAAGAATTGCAGAGGCTGGGCGGGTGGCGTGGCCTGTGGGTCGGACATGTCCCCACCGGCACTCTTCCTGGGTTTTCGGCACCACTTGTAGAGTACACCCAGCACAGACACACGCACACACAGGCAGGTATAGCCAACTTCCTCGTTTATTGGTATATTTGTATTTTGACAGCTGACTCAGTCACACCGTCTGACAGCTCGAGCCCAGCTGATCTCCCTTGGCCGCTCCTCCTCGTCTCACTATAAACACAGCGGAGGAGACCATCATTAGTCCATAAACAATATCAGCTGTTCTTACCAGCCTCGCGGCGCCGCCCCGTTGAGCCTTCCGCTCCACTCCTCCCTGCAGCTGCGCCCGGGGCCACGCCTCCGCCACAGACATTCCTGCAGTTTAACTCATTGGTGTGTGTTATCTGGCTTCATGGACAGATAGAGCTGGGTGTCATCTGCATAGCAGTGTAAATGTATGCTATGTCTTCTAATGATGCTGCCTAAGGGAAGCATGTATAATGTAAACAGAATTGGTCCTAGCACTGAACCCTGTGGAACTCCATAACTGACCTCAGTGTGTGAAGAGGACTCTCCATTTACATGCACAAACTGGAGTCTATTAGATAGATATGATACAAACCACTGCAGCACAGTACCTGTAATACCTACAGCATGTTCTAATCGCTCTAATAGGATATTATGGTCGACAGTATCGAACGCTGCACTGAGGTCTAGCAGGACAAGCACAGAGATGAGTCCACTGTCAGAGGCCACTAGAAGATCATTTGTAACCTTCACTAAAGCTGTTTCTGTGCTGTGATGAGCTCTGAAACCTGACTGAAACTCTTCAAATAAACCTCTGCAGATGATCTGTTAGCTGTTTGACAACTACTCTTTCAAGGATGTTTGATATGAAAGGAAGGTTGGAGATTGGCCTATAATTAGCTAAGACTGCTGGGTCTAGAGATGCTTTTTGAGTAAAGGTTTAACTACAGCCAGCTTGAAGGCCTGTGGTACATAGCCGATCATTAGAGATAGGTTGATCATATTTAAGATTGAAGAATTAATTAATGTCAGGACTTCTTTGAGCAGTTTTGTAGGAATGGGTCTAAAAGACACGTTGATGGTTTGGAGGAAGTAATTATTGAAGTTAACTCAGAAAGATCAATTGGAGAAAAGAGTCTAACTTAACATCAATGGTACTAAGAGTACCTGATTCCCTTCTGTTACTTTTATTAGTGATATCAGTGAGGTGTCAGGTGATGTGCAGGCAGCATCTCAGTCACAGTAAGAAGTGTGGTCACCTGGGGTTTTGAAGGGTGTAGCCCTCAGTCTTGTTCGTAATATGAATGACGGACTGCCGAGCGCCCATGGTGTCCGCAAACTGAAGAACAAAAAAGAGTGAATAATGTTTTTCTGTCTGTGGGAGCATCTCTGTTCGTAAGACAGTAAACGTGATACAAACACCATCATGTCGTCCACTGTTACAGCCCCAGTGCTCCACCCTGTGGGACTTTTCCAATAAGAGAGACTTTACCTAAAAAGTTCCTTCAAAGGCTCTGCAGCTTTATTATTTATTAAAAAACAGTTTGAACATGGAGCACCGTGTGTGCGAGCAGCTGTGACTCACGTTTCCACAGCGAGCGCTCCGAACGAAACGATGACAAACAGATTCTGAACACGTCAGAGAAAGGAACATCTTTGTCTGTGTTTCAGTCAAATAAACAAGCTCGGACTCACAGTGATGAGATGAATTCAGGTGATCGGTCACCAGTGTTCGTGTGCAGTCCTTGCAGTCTGACTGAGACCAAACAATCCTCGGTTTGTACTCTGAAAGTGAAGCAGAACGTCTGTTCATGAACTAAAGGAGATTTGTAGAGAGATTTTTTTCCTTTTCCAGAAAAAATACTACCTCATTTTTTTTCTGGAGATTCGAGAAAAATGTTTTTTTACTCTGACACGTTTTGGTTTATTTCTTTTTGATTGGTCACTAAGATATTTAAAGCAAATCCCCTCTCGCCCTGTGGGCTGTCTTTATTGTTCAAGCTCGTATTTGATAGCTAAAGGCTCCACACTAAAACTGGTGATTATTCACTCTGAATTATTCTTATAGGTCGTCCAACTATAAGGTTGCTTTGAAGGTAACATTGTGGTGTTTATCCAGTTGGATTAAGTTTGCAAATGTGCAAAGGGCTGATTATGTTTGCAAGCAGCATATTCCATTAATATTAATTGCAAATCACTGAATGCAGGACATTATGATCGGGAGCTAAATGAAAGCCTGCTAGTGGAGCCCAGCTCACTCAACACAAGCTGAACAGCAGAGAGGGAGGAGAGCAGTGAAGAGTAACCCATCTGGCTACACTAAGTAACAGTTACTGTGGAATAGCTCAGGCCGCATTCAGTGTGTTTCGTCTGATTCCTGGACTCTGATCACGCACTAACAGGTCATGGCGGACACGCTCGGCCTCGTTGGGCCAGCTGTGAGTCCGTTACCGTGAACTATGGAGCGGCAGATTTGTGCTGGAACTGAGCTGCACACAGCTGATGTTGATGTGTGCATCGGAGACCATTCAGATGGAAACCTGCAGACCCACAGAGCTGAGAACTGTCTCTGCACATCTGCCTGTGTTAGAACAGGAAGTAGTTTCTAATTTCATCAAGCTTGTCAACTTCCTGTGGTCGCAGAGATGTTAAAAACAGGAAGTGTGGTTGCTAAGCTGTTGCTATGTGTGCTGATGTCACACAGACTAGGATGAGGTGCAATATATTAGACAATTCACACAATTCACAGTATATCGGTTTAGTGTTCACCTCTCTCGAATAAAACACCACCAAAAATGTGTTTTCCTATTAAAGGTGACGAATTTTGTAATGTAATGTGATGCGTTACACACAAACAAGCCTTACTGCTCGTATTTATCAGGTCTTCTCCTCGTGCATTTAACAAAATAGAAATACAGGTGTAGTTCATTACCCCGTCTGCTTTTTGTAAAGATTACTTTATTCTGATGTCATTGTTTGATAGAAACACGTCTGTCTAGTGGCTAGAATGCTGGCAGTCCGCCCAGTCACCGCTCACTGTTTTAGGACATTTAAATGCAAAAATGCATCTTTGGGCACATTTTAATGTCCGCTAAAGTTAGCGTTGTAATAGCAAACAAGTATTTTTGATGCAATTGCATTTAAAAACAAAAGCGACATTTTTTTCTCCCCTCTGAGGTCAGTGGGAGGAGGCACAGACCCACCATTTAAACTGAACCCCTTTTGGTTACACACTTTTGGTTGTGAAATCACAACAGTCTGATGGGCTTGTACAGGGCGATGGCTGTGTAGATGTTGAGGTAGAACGTGAAATATTTGACTCTGTGTGTCTCCCATCCTCTCAGTGTTGGGATGGTGAATGAAGGAGTTTTGTGCAGTTCCAGCAGAGACACTAAAACACAGCAGTGATTGTGTCCAAACAGACAAACATGAACTAAATGCAGTGAAGCTGCTGTTTGTCTGAGTGCATGTCTGAGGGAGCTCACTGCACAGGAACGTTTACTTTTATTTCACTGTGAAGGCTGAACCCTCTCTGAAGGCAGCAGCATCATTTCAGAGTTTTAGAGTCGAACATTTCTAACAGGAAGTGATCAGAAGTCTACAAAAGGCTCTGAATCCTCAAACACTGAGAGGAAATCTGCTGTTCAAGCTGCTGATCGTGTTGTCAACATTTCAACACTAACTCCAGATGTTTCCAGTTGCACATCCATCACATCAGGGAAGTTCTGGCAGCAAAAACTGATCAAAGGCTGAAAACACTCATTTATCTGTGAGCAGCATCAACTTTTAGACAACAGGAAACATCAGCAAGCATTTTTACATCAGTCCCAAAATGAACAGAGCTGCTGCCTCCATCTACAAACTGCCCCACATGCAGAACCACAAACTCCACCCTGCACTGAGAACTGAAAAAGTCTTCACTGTTACTTTTCTACAGATCATCACTGAAAATATCATGACTGACTCATCATGGAGTCTTTTTTCCTTCAAACTACAAACATCCTGGACATTAAATGTTTCTGTAAACAGCAGCAGAAACTTCCAGGAACTGAAGACAAAACTTCAGATTTCAACACAAACAAATGTTTGCCGCCATCTTTTATATACAAGCTATAGATAGTCTACAGTGGAAATAATAATTGAAACCAGCAAACACACAATCACGAAAAAGCAGAAGTTATACTGATGTTAGCCAGGAAAACATTACAGACTGCTTCCATTACCTTCACAGCGTCAGTCACAAACATTTACTTCAGGAAAGTGAAATTAAAGTTTGAACAGGAAGGAAACACCCACAGAGGCATCTGAGGACACCGAAACAAACACACTCTGTGCTGCATTCTAGTGCATCTTGGAAACTCCCAAAGCTCTGGCAGGTTATCTAAAGGTGATTTATTTCTGCCGGTTTTCCTATTTGAAGCACAAACATCCGTCATCACTTTGTTCTTCTTCTTCCTGCAGCGTTTTGAATATTTCAATAGTAAACTGATGTTTCTTCAAAGCTCATTTCAACCTGTTGAAATCATGAATGAAAGTGCAGACTGAAAGTGGATCACATGATGTTTGAGGTGTGTCATGTGACATGTTCAGTATTGTCACACATGTCTAGATTGTCCCTGATATCATAACTGCTCAAACACTGATGATTATATTTGAAGAATTATTCCTGATGGCAGCAAAGTTTGAATGGAGCTCTCTGTCTGTGCTGATTTGTCGCCCTCTGGAGGTCAAAGCACAAACTGCATGATGTCACTGTAACCACCACAGTGACAGGAAGTGTTTTTATGACTGAAACACTGAAATGATGCTAACGGCTGTCGTTAGGCTCACTGACAGCAGTGCTGATGTGTTCATGTCCAACACTGGCTCAGGTCAGACTCCTTCATCCTTCTCCAGCGTGAAGCTGCCCTCAGACCCACAGGAGCTCTGACCTTTGACCTCCTGACCCTAACCATTTTAGTCTCTTTGCATCTTTAAATGCAAATCCATCCAAACTGTAGCCGAGCACCAGAAGCTGGAAGCTGTTATATGAATGATGATCATAGCAGAGTTCCTGTTTCCAGCTCAGACGTGTTAAACGCTGCTGCTCTGCTACATTTGTCATTTCCTTCTTTCACTTCCATCCATGTCAAAGTGCTGAACTCATCTGATCCTTTTAATGCAGTAAAGCAGGAGCTGTAAGTCTGACATTTATTTACTGTCATCACAAACACACACAGCTGGATTAGCACCAGACAAAGGGCTGAAAAGATGAAAATCAGCATCTGATTTCTATTATATATCCTGTTTATGTGGATGCACTTTTCTATCTGTCAGTGCTGAAGCAGACGTCACTGATCACATGACTCTGAGGGATGTTTCCAGCACTTCGCTGAATCTGAGCCATGAAGATTTAAAGCAGCTCTGAAGGCAAAGCAGGTCTGAGCCTGTGTTAGTGAGCTGTACTTAATAAAGTGGCAGCAAGGACTCAGTCAGTTATGATAAGAGCCAGCAGGGGGCAGCACAGAGAGGCGAGGCGCTGTCAGAGAAGCAGGCTGACATCAGACTGGTCATATTCCATCATCTATACCTGAAATAATCATCAAACACATGCAGAGCAGAAACATGTGGAAACATCTGGAGCTCAGTCTCAGTTTGATCCCTCAGAGGTTTACCTCAGTCCTGCTCCTCTGCTTCCTGTTTACAGAGCACACATCATGCTGTGTACTGAGAGTCATGTGGTCAAAGCGAGGCCCTGGTACTCTGACAGAGAGCTAGCACAGTCATCCTAATGTATATCATCACTACCAGAGAGCATTCAGCTTTCACAGCAGCCAACATCCTGTCACACTGAGCATGTGCAAACACAGCAGCCAACATCCTGTCACACTGAGCATGTGCAAACACAGCAGCCAACATCGCTGCAGTGCATCCTGGGATAGGGTGGGCCCACCTGTCCTTCAAATCCAGGGAGAAGAAGGACAGGTTTGTGGGAGACTGGGAGTCTGGACGGCCTTCATGGCCTCGCTGTGATGTCATGGACCTTCAGAGGAAGCAGAGGCTGAATTGAAACACACCTGCTGACTTCCTGTGTTCTGCTCTGACAGCTGCCATGTGTCACAGCCTGGATCATAAAGCTATCAAACTTCACTCAGCTCCAATAACACCATCAGTGTTTGATGTCCAGAGGATTCATCAGCTTTAACCATGATAGAAGCAGGAAGTTAAGATGAACCATGTTGTGACTGAAAGACAAAGCTGAAATATACAGATGTGTACAGATGTGTGAGCCTCCAAACATTGCTGCCGCTTAGTTTTCCACTAAGTCATCCCAGCTGACAGTAGAAATCATTGATTCAACCCATCAAAGCCCCAAAAATAGACTTTAAATACTCGATTTGAGACAATTGAAGTCAAATGTAAAGAAATGATTTCTCTGTCATTACTGCTGCATTCCCGCCCTGCATGCCCCCTCAACCCCGCCAGCCTCCACCACCATCCACATTCCGGCACTAGAAGTTTCCTCATTAAAGAAAAAAAAAAATAGGTGCTTCACCCCCTTGATGGCTCCCAATCATACCCCTCCCACGTCTCCACCAGCTCACGGATTATCTACTCTGAGGTCAGTCTTCTCCAAACTCGGTGCCCCTTTGTCGGAAGAGAAAATGGGGGACCTTTAACATCCCCGGAGTTCCTCAGGATAACCCTCGACACTAAACATTTCCAGGCTCCCCTGCCGATCAAAAGGTTAAGGCATCACCCTTCTCCTCCAAAACGTCCTCCTCGCTCTCTCTTGCTTCAAATGATGGCTGCTCTCCTTGTTGGGATGCTTAATCCTATACCTTACTTGCTTCACCTGCTGCATCCAAACCGCCACTCCTCGACTCCACCATGCTGCATAGCTCTCCCAGGGCTGAACTGCATCTCTGGCAACTTCTGCTCACTAACTGGAACGGCATCACCTTCTTCTACAATGATCAGCTGCCCCCCACGACGTCCTGCTCTTCACAGATGCCGTCCCTTCTGCCGGCTTTGGGCGCTATTACGGCCGAAGACATTAAGAGCCTTGGCGCCCTACGCAGAGGCAGCTCCGACCCCAGGTCCTCCATTTTCAGCCATGTCTTTCGAGATCTAAACCCCATCGCAGAACTCAATCGCTTCTTGGGAGATGCTAATATAAAAACAGCCTTGCAGCAAGCACATTGTCCTCTTATTGGACCGCTTGGAACACGTTCCGTTCATCGCATCACAACTTCAACCTCTCGTCCTACGTCCTGGCGTGCACACTCAAGGCCACGTTCCTAATCGCCTTCTTCAGCTTAGGCTGTTCCGAATTCACCTCCTCATCCTCGATGTTCCACCCGACTCTTCACCCATGCATGTGTGTCATCCACCCAGTCTCCGAAGACTGCTTCATTTTATCCTCAAATGAAGCAACCCAATCAATCGGGCAGCACCACGCCTACATACTACTTCAAAATAAACTCTCCTTTAAGACCCTTCGAATCACTAACCCTTTACCTCGACCTCAAAAATCTCAGCACACCTTACCTTCAGATCATCTGTTCATCACCGAATCTGGCCACGCCCCAATCAGGACATGGCTCCTCTCACACTTTCGCCAAGCCCCCTTGTCTTCCGGGATTCCTCCAAATCATTTCCCTGGCCTCCCTTCCTCACCGGCGTTGCGACTTCTGCCTCCCACAAAGGAATCCCTGACAACTTAATCAAGCTCCTGGGTTGATGGTCATCACAAGTCTACCTGGTATACATTCACAACATTCTCCAAAACCTCCATTATGCCCAGTCCTGTCTTTGGGGGTTCTGCCTGGCCCAAGAGCGGTCGCCAGTCCCCTTCAAGGCCTTCCCCAAACCGCAGCACTAATCACACTTTCTCATCCCTCATCGCTTATCGTTACCAAGGGAGTGGTCCCTGCTAGTGAAACAAATATCAAAGCTGAGTTTTTGTCAAAGTACAGACATGATAAAAAATGTGTATTTCATTGTTTTCCATGTTCTAATTAATCAGTTCTTGATTGAGTCTTTGTGTTACTGTTTGTGTGCACAGTCCATCAATGGGCGTTATTAGCAGTTATCAGCCCCATAACTGTGGTTCAGATTGCACCTGCTAGCAGGCTCAGTAGGTCGTTATCACCAGTTGGTGAGCCGGATCACTGTGTCGCTGTTGGAGGGACCCCGATGGATCCAGATCCAGTACAGACAGACTTCACACTGAGACGGGCGCATAGCAGCTAACTACTGAAAAATGTCTATTTAATCAGTTTGAATATGATTTTCTCATGAACAGAAACAGATTACATAATGAAAAAAGGCTTCTGAACTTTACTCTTTTGCCACAAGCATCATCTGTATGATGGAAGTCGAGCCTGGAAATAGTTTTTTGCTAGTGTATTACTTTAGCGTACGCTAAATTCAAAGCACGCCATGAGAGTGTTAATAACTTGCTAATGTTCAGCTACACTTTACTAGGTCACATCTGTGACACACGTTACTTAAACAAAGAAGGAAATATTGGCTCTGTTTTATCTGCTGGCCCAAAAGTGACTCCCTGTATTTAAACTGCTATGAAGAACTTGTTGGTCTATAATATGTGAACATGTGTCAAATGTGTCCATCATGAAAGACATCAGGTCATCTTGAGCCACAAAAACATTCCTATCATGAAAAAGAAGCTGGAATCAGTTTGTTGCAGACGTTTAAATATCCGATATTTATCCAGTTAAAAGCTGAAATTCAAAAATGTCTTTTCAAGAGTCGTCTGTCCAAGAGGAGCAGAAGCTGCAACAAATATAACAACAGTTATTTAAGGCTGTTTTAAACGGCCACAAAGGAGCAGATTGGTTATATGTGTCACGGTCCTGGGTCTTATGACCCAGTGTTTTGAGTTTCAGTTCTTTTGATGCTGTTAGTGTATGTTCTAGCCTATTATGTTTCCTATGTGCATCTGTTTATCAGTTCCCCCTTGTATTGTCATACCCTGTGAAATCTCCCTTGCCCTTCGCTTCGTGTGTTTCTTATCTATTTGTCTTATGTTGTTAGGTCTGCGTCTCATTATGTTTCCTGTTTTATTGTGAAGAGGTCTGGTGTTTCTGGGTTCATCGTGTTCAGTTTTACTCTCCCATTGTTCACGTGGTTATGTTCATGTGTGTCAGCTGTTTCTCCATGTGTTGCCACTTTCCTCATTATCCTCCTGTGTCTATTTAGTCCGTGTGCTTTCAGTCATTTGTTGGTCAGGTTGTCTGCTCATCCATGTCTCATCTCCAGGTATCTCCGTCAGTTCACTATGGTTAAGGTTTTTCATGTTTTGTTTTACTTCACCCAGTTTAGG